TTTCCCGGCCATTACGAATTTATTATTCATTTCGAAGCTGGCACCTCGCAGCTATTTGACAATTTGGCATGCTATTCATAAACTGGGCGTCCCTGTCATCGCGTTTTATTGGCGAATCAAAAGCCACCGCAAATGGCAAACATACATGCATGTCACCTCGATGGAAATTCCGCGTTTCTCCTTTTCCTCCCCTTCCCCTGTTTTCCAAACCATTTTCCCTACTTTCTAGGAGCTCTGGTTTTGGGCTTGCGGTCAGCTGTTGGTCAGCAAACAAGCGTGAAATTGCACAAAAGCCGTGACGGACTCTAAGCCACCGGAAAAGGGAACCTAAAAAAAAGAAAATGGAGGGGCAGAAAAAAGGGGTTGGAAGCCGCACAAACAGAGGGACAAAAGGCAATCAGACTTGCGGCCTACGAATGTGCTACGCTTTTTCCTTTGCTGCACTCTCGCTTTTTCGCGCTTTTCCCCTTTTTTTATTGCAGGTTTTCCGCGTGCCAGCAGCCGCAAAGTATGCAATGAATTTTATGTCGCATGCAATATAGCAGGGGAATCTGATGAGAGAATTAATTACATCTGAGTGCGGTTACTACATATTAAAAGGATATTAAAAAGAATGTCTAATTTGATGCAACTATTTTTGGTTTTATCTATGCAAAGTAACACATTTGAATTTGCCTAAAAGTGTGCTATATCCATTTTATTATTTATATATTTTAAAGTCTACTTTACGGCACCTCTAAAACTATTTTAAAATCTCTAATAATATTTACAAATGTTAATTTTTATTTAAAAATATATTTTAAAATAATTATTCCTTAGGAATATATCATTTTAGAAACGAAAAACCCCTGTTTGATTTTTTACTGCAACTACAGGTCCTTGTTTAATCGCCATAAAAATCCTTTTCCCCTTCCCTTTGCCCCATCGCAATTAATCCGGCTTTGATGATGTTTGATTTTGGTCCAATGCCAGCATCTATATGCAGCTTAGATGAAGTTCATTTGCGCAAAAATAAAGGGGATTTTTTATGGGCCGCTAATGAAATGCATACAATTAGCTTACACACGCTAATGATTCAATTATCTTTATTACTTCCCCGACATGCACTCAGTGCTGCAATCACGCAATGCTAAATATGTGGAGCTTCCCAGCTCTGCTTTTAATTAAAATCGTTTCGTTTCGATTCGATTCGAATCGATGGAGAGTGGTGCCGGGGCACGTTTTAAATTTAACGCCCAGGAGTCCTTGGAGTCCTTGGCATACGTAGAGAGCTCAGAGCAGAGCTCAGTGCTCAGAGCTCGAGGCACTTCATTAAAGGGTGTAAAGTTGGGAATTTATTTTGCATTTGCCGTGCATCGAACGTGCTGAGGCCAGTTGGGCAAATGGATTTTGAAGGGCTGCCGATGGCAGTTGATGGAATGAAAAAGCGGGTTTTCCGGGTGCTCTTGTTTATGGCTGCAGCTGCGCCACTAAAATGGATTGAAGAGATGCGCATCGCCGGCAAAAAAATTGGGTCAATCAAGTTGGCGAAACTGTTAAGGGATCAAAGGAATACGATCTGGGGAGCTGGGGCTCAAAATGCCACAAAGTTTACAATTTTATGCCTTACAAGTTAAGTTCAAGTAGATTAAATCATGACTACTTGATTTTGTCTTTTAATATATAAAATTTGCTACTTATTATATTTCACTGCTGATAATTTTAGATTTGCGAATTTCCTTACATAAAAAATCTCACTATCCTTAGTTAATTTCACTGCCTAAGATGAATGCAATTTTAAAAAGGAAGTCGAATTGAAAAAAAACTTTAGACAGTTTTTCGAATGATTTTCAATCTTCAGGGATTTTAAATATTTTTTCTTAATAAATAAGTAAAATAATCATACACGCTTTCAAATGATTTTCAGTTTCCATAGACTTAAAATTTTATGTAAAAAAATATATATTTCAGTAAAAAGAAATTTTAAAAAGAAATCTTCTAAGAGGATCAAAAACGTTTTGCATCCCAACAATTGCAAAGCTTCAGGGTATAACAGAAAATAATCTAAAAATCATAATAAGAACCAACAATCGAAAAATACAAGAAAATACGAGTAAGCTGTGGCTGTAATCCATCAATCAATTCGGGATGAGAGTGGAATTCCATTTCCCAACACAATAATGCCCCTGCTTAAAGAAATTACTTTCACGCTTTGCTCCAACTGACAATCAACATTTTCGAGTTCAATCAATGCATCCGCTTATTTAGCTGCCACTTCCAAGCCGGGCCACTTGCCACTTTGCCACGCCCCCAAATGCTCCTTCGCCTCCGGTTCCCAGTTGGAATTTATTTCATTCCTATTTCATGCAATTTTTATGCATTTTTCTATTTATAAAATTGCTGGCAGCGCAGAGCCCGGAGTGCACACAAAATAATAAAAATGCCAGGGAAGACGTGCAAAAGAAAAATAAGGGAAAATGAACATAAAATGCAAGCGGCGTCATTTCGCAGTTCCTTGCAAGGCTCTCACTCGTATTTTCCTATTTTCCACGGCGCTTTTCCTTGTTTTCTCTGCACGTAGAAAAATTGAGAGGGTTGAAATCATTTCACGAGGTCTCCAAAAGTATGCAATGAATTATTTAGCACGGTAATCCTGTGGAAAAATTTCGAAAAAACATTCCTGACGTGGTCTTTTTTTAAATGTAATTCTTTTAAATGTGATGTAACAATTCTTGGCGAAATAAAACCTTTTAAAATACAGCCTAAAAGAATGTAATGATTTTTTTAACTCAGAAATTCGTTGCTTTTATTTTGTCTATCCTTTTCAGTGTTGTAAAATCACAGGACCTATATTAATTTATCCATTGGTATGACATTTTCCCTCTGTGTGCTGTTTTCCCTTGGTTTTCATTTTTCCCCCAGTAGTGTGAAAATGCAGCGTGAGAAAACGAACAGAAACGGAGCTGGAAAAATGGTTGGGCGGCGGGGCGTGTAAGTGTTGGTAAACGTGGTGCAAAATGCCGTTACTGCCATCCTGCATTTTCCATTTTCCCCGAAGCTGTTGTTGTGTTACTATTGCGGTGTTGTTGTTGTATTTGGGTCACCAATGCAGTTGTAGCTCAGTTTCCCCCCTCAGTTTCCCTTCTCCTGTTTTTCTTTGCTGTTGTTGTTGCTTGTTTAACAAGTTCGAGTGCATCGCATTTGTGAAAATTTAAAAAGGCATCTAAAAGTTGCTCCTGAATGTGTCTATGTGTGTGTTGTATGTATGTTGGTGTTGTGCCACAAAAATAAAATGAAAAAACACGGACACAAAAGGAAAACAGGAGCGAACTTTTTGAGGCTCTGCCGCTGACACCAAAATGCACAAAAGCACTAAGAAGGCTGTCCTCAGAGGGTTAAGGATATCGGTTACCAAAGTATCCTGGAGTATGTTTTATTAATAAATTGGATTGGGGTTTAAAGGGAGTAGATTTTTTATTTAAAATCTGTGATTATCAGGCAAACTCATAAAGAATATTGGAAAAACAGTAGCAGCATTTTTAAATAATTTTAAATTCATTTTTGAATTACTTTGATTTAAAATACTTACTTCAGTATTGTTTGTAAAATCTGAAATGATATTATAAGCCCCCAAAAAAGATTTCCTAACCCAACACACCTTCAATCGCAGAAATACCCCTTGAAAAAAGTTTTCTTAACAATGTGTAAAAGGGTTTTTGGGGCAAGGGAAGTGAAGTGAACTTTTGCAGTGGCAGGAGTCGAGTGAAAACAAAACGAACAGCAAACATATTTGACATTTGCATACGAAAAGTGTCAAAAGAAGCAAGAAGCTACACATACAAACTAACCCAAGCAAACAGAGTAGCAACCAACCGCATAAAAACGAAAGGACTGAGAAAAACTTCCCGCTTTTGGGATACAAAAATAGCGAACAAAATATTTTCTAAGCTTGTATTTTTAGCTAACGATCCTACCGTTCCGAATAATTATTTTTTGTTTTTTGTATAACTCGGAATAATACGGTTTAAGCCATTTAAGTGAGAGAAAATAATAAGTAAACAAGAGAGAACGCTATAGTCGGGTTGGTGTCCCGACTATCTAATACCCGTCACTCAGCTAAAGGGAGTGCGAACGCTGTGCCGGGTTGGTGTCCCGACTAATAATCGTAACTCAGCTAAAGGGAGTGCGAGGGAGATAGATATATGTTGACAATTTATAAAGCGTATAACTTTTTAATGAATGGTCCGATTTGAAAAATGTCTTCTACATTTCGATAGGTATAAATATACACAACAAAATTGCATTTATACTTCTCGGAAATCTTTAAAGATGTGGGCGCAGGACCCATTTTAAAATCGTTAGTGGGCGATTGTGGGCGTTAGAGGGGGCGTGGCGCTCGGCTAAAATAAACTTGCGCTGCGTAGGAAGCCAAAGAATATGTGTGGGAAATCTCAACCTTCTAGCTTTTGTAGTTTCTGAGATCTCAGCGTTCATACAGACGGACAGACAGACAGACGGACAGACGGACAGACGGACAGACGGACAGACGGACAGACGGACATGGCTAGATCGACTCGGCTAGTGACCCTGATCAAGAATATATATACTTTATGGGGTCGGAAACGCTTCCTTCTAGCTGTTACATACTTTTGCACGAATCTAGTATACCCTTTTACTCTACGAGTAACGGGTATAAATATGTTTAAAAAAAATGCTTTTTCGGCAATTTAAATTGGAAATATATAACATTTTAATATATATCCTATATTTAAGATGGTATTATTTTTTTTAATTATAATATATTAATATTTAAGGAAGTATTAAATATTAAAACTATGTTATTGAACCAAAATATTATTTCATGGGTTATCATTTATAAGATTTACATAGTAAAGTAAGAAATAAAAATATTTTTGTTATTTTACAATACAATTTTTTCGCAGTGTAATCCTGCTCGTTTATGCCACTTCCGTGACTCTTTCTTATCTGTGTCCTTTCTGCTCTCTTTTCTTCCTGCCCAGGAACGCTACAAGGCCGACATTAGCCTGGCCATCCAATTGCTGCAGTGCAAGCCGGATAGTTTTGTGTCCCAAAAAGTGTCATCGGTGGGTATCTCTGTCCTATTCAAAGTGTAATATAAGATAGAAAATATCCCCCCACTTAATGATGTTTTCCTATGCACAGCTCCCCATTGATATTCAGTCGAAGGTGTCGGCGTACATGCGATTGGAGACGAACTCCCATTCCGATTCCGAGTGCAGCAATAGCGGAGTGGGCGTGGCCACCACAGCTTCCTATAAAGTGCTTCCGGCCTCCGATTCGCCGCCCCCCTCCGCCTGCCCCTTCCCGCCGACGGCCATGGTCTATTCGATGAGGGGAATCGGTAGGTGTTAGTAGACCATGTTGAACCCTATGATTTTTTATGATTTTTTTCCCCATTTCCGCCTGATTTCGTCTCTTTTTGACTTTGGATTTATTGATTTACGTTTTCTAGGCACCGGATTGAATCAGGAAGACTGCGTTAAGTTCACATTTTGATTTCCGTCCTCAGATTTAATTTAAGAAATATTTATTTTATTTAAAAGGTTTATTTTTCAATTATTACAATAATGCAAAAAACAAACAACTTTAATTTAGAATATAAAATATATTTCCAAGAGTTATTTAAATAGTTTTTATGTTGCAAAAACTTTTCACATAAAATCGAAAAATATTCAATGTTACATACTTTTATTTTATTTGCTTTTCCTTGGCCATTTACTTTCATAATTATTTCTCCAATAAAATACTTGTTTAAATATTTTTGCAAAAATGTTTGCTACTTTACCGAACGTACTGATTTTATTTGATTGATTGGCATTTTCTGTGGAGGCTGCGAAAAGTTTACAATTTGATTTCTGCCTCGTAATTACATATATTCCACATCATTGTGCTCTGTATTGCCATTTATTCCTCTTCGGTTATTGTTCATTTGCATTAATTGCCAGCATTTCAATTTAATTTTTATTTATTATTCCATTTTTTTCCGCCTCATTGTTTGCCGTTTTTGTTGCCATAAATTGCAATTTGAAACTACTGCAAAATAACTCTTGGCAGGATTTTTTCAGTTCAGTCTCGAAAATATTTACATGCTTGTGTTGTAAACATATTGTTGGTCAGAAAATGCTGCTGAGGCATGATTGTGGCCAAAAACTTTTTGTTGATCAATTTGGGCAATTTTTGTTAGTTTTAATACATGCATATTTGATGAGGCAAATTTTTTGCCAGAGAAATGCTTTTGCTGCCGAAATGTCGAGTTTCACAAAAGGCATAGTTAAATTGGAGGGAATTTGTTTTTACTAGGCATAATTTTCTTGTAAAATGAATTGTCGTTTATTGAGATTTAATTTTCTATTCAGCTTTGAAATGAATAATAAATTAAATTGAAAGCTATTAAAACTTAGATAAAATTCAAGCCAACATAATAAAATTACTATGCTAAACTGAAGAAACAATTTTTAAATTAATTTATTATGCTTATATTTGGTCTACAAAAAATATAACTAAAATGCCTTTATAAATAGACGAACAATTCCGTTATTAACATACAAATATTTAATTACATTTATTTTCCAGTTACAGCAATTTTATCTTTTCAGTTCATTTATGGCTTTTATATTTCTTATAACCAAAATGAGTTTTTCCCTAACAAACATGGCTCAAATTGCTTAAAATAAAATATTTCTACCTTATAAAAAACACCCACTAATTTTAAATATTTTTCCCACCAAATTTAGATGCCGCCAATGGGAATGCGGTCACAAATCCTCAACAGCAGACGAATCAATCCACAAACAACAATATCAGCAGCAGCAACAACAAGGACACGCTTAACAACAACAACAATAATAATAATAACAACACCAGCAGCATTAATAAGTGCAACAACAATCAAACTAATACAAATATTATCAATAATAATGCAAATCAAACAAACACTAATAATCCCGATATGATATCGCCAACAATAATGGCGAAATTCCTCGAGGACGAACTGAAGGCAAATGAGGTAAAACACTGCGATACGTGTCAGTGCAGCAAACAGGACCTCCAGGTCCTCGCCGATGTATCGCGTTCCTATTCGGTGGCCACCCAAACGCCCCATCAGCTGCAACTTGGCGTTGGATCATCGGGATTAAACGAACCGCTGACCAATCAACTTTGTCTGCGGTGTCATAGCAATCTGAACTCACCATCGCGAACCAATAGTCCGTATCTCATGAAGATGGTCAAGTCCAGTGATTCGGTGATATCGGAGACCAAGAGTTCCGTTTCGGATCTCAACGATATGGACAAGCTATTTACGCCGGCCAAAAAAGATGATCTGATGGTGAATCCCATATTGGGACATCATCGTCTCTGCGAAAGAACTGCAATATCTGGAGTTCAGAATGGAGAATTCGGCAATGGAAAGCTGACCACCTCGACGATGATGTATCCCACTACGCATTTGGGTGCCTATGCTGCGGAAAAGTATCTCCTGGAGACGAGTAATCTTGGCCAGCTGAGGACGGGTTATCAGAGGCGATTTCTGGATGGCGGAGGAACTGCCCTGCAACTGTTGAATAAATACGAAGCCAGTGCAGTGGGCATAGTACAGGATGATTTGGAAGATGAATCGAGTAAACCTCTGTTGTCGGGTATTTCGCAACCCAGTCTTTTGGATTCCGAGCAGACCAATCCCCCACAGCAATCGGTGACTCCCAAACTGGAGGATGTCTGCGAACCGCCGCCCAGTAAGCCAGTTGCTCCAGTGGCTCCGCCAGGAAGTGCAGCTCCTGCTGCTTCTTCAGGAACTCAACTGAAGTCCACCAACTCAGGAAGTGTCCAGAGTCTGTGGAGCAACAAGACCAGCAGCTGCGAGGGGGCCAAAATGTTTGAGACCTTCAACAGGAATCTAATCAAAACGATTAAGGTTGGAAAGAGTGTAATAAAACTACTTATAAAGGTGTCTAAAAATATGCAATGAAAAATATATAGTAGTCTTAGGGTTTAAAAAATATTGTTGCCTACTTTTAAACGTTTTTTAAAAAGGTTTTAAAACACCACTAAATTTTGTTTTTTTCAAAATTTATTTAAAAGATGAAATAAGCGAGATTTTTTCAATCATTTACAAAAGTGTCTAAAGTAAGCAGAAAAAATATGTATATTGTTGCATACTTTTAGACAGCTTTTTCGATAATTTCAAAAACCCCATAAATTCGTTATAAAATCCAGAAAATATGTAAATACCGTCGTTTAGAAATCACTTAAAAGAAAGACGTCTTTCGGTTTCTAAATATATTGTTGCATACTTTTAGACACCTTTTTAAGAGATTTGAAATTTGTTTAATATTTTACTCCCAGATTTATTTACAAATGTATTCCCTTTTCAGGCGGAGAATCCCAAGTACCGTGGACCCCGCCTGTGCGCCATGCGAATCCAGCAAAATGGCCAGAGCAACATCCTGCTGGACAACCTGGAGTCCATCGAAACCTACACCCCGGTGATCTACAAGCGTCGCGAGAAGCTGCTCGATGAAGAACTCAACGATGGCAAGGACATTATCACCAGCAAGGAGAGCAATGCCCAGTCGGCGGTGGAAGCCTGGCAAGGACCTGCTGCTCCGCACGAGAACGTGGCACTTCAACCGGTTCTAGAACCCCAGGTGGAATTACCCGAACTAGAAGCCATCGAAACGAAAGTCGAATCAACCACAAATCCCGGCGTGAATTCCCCGAAACACTCGGCCAATTCCAGTTCCATTAGCGATATAATTGATTACCAGGAAAGTGTCCTTTTAAGACGACAACAACTCAGTCGAGTGGCCGAATGGGTTCAGCATAATACCCAGCAATTGGAGCAGCGGAATCTGCAGCAGGCTCCTCCAACCAGCGATTCGAATTCGGGCACTGAAAGGCAGTCCTCGTACTCCACGCTGGATAGGATGGACTCCATATCGATAGAGAAACTATCCATGGATTCGGGCTATAAAACTACGCCACAGCAACTGACGAATGGTTATCCCGAAAAATCCACAGAGGATTCGTTGTCACCCAAGACGGATATTACTAGCAATTCGCTGCCGGAAAATCCCCTAACAACTGAAGTTCCCCCCAAGAAAACGGAAATGTGCACTACCTATTATAGAAGAACCACCCGATCGGGTTTGCCGGTGGCCTACACCACCACCGTTTCGGGGGTCGGCGGTCCAGCTGATGAGTCCACATCCTCGGGCTCCGAGGCTCCGCAGCTCATCTGCCCCGAACAGCCCACGTGTGATATTCTGAACTACAAGTACTATCCCAATGATACGGACAAAACGCGATCGGTTCAGGCAGAGCTGCATACGACCACCCAGAATGTGGATATAGCCCAGATGGAATATAATGTAAAGCAGTTTCTGCTAAAGCAAAACGAATGGTCCATGAATGGGGGAGGAAATGGAAATGGAGGATCTAATCCCGGAGTCTTACTGCAGGGATCTTCTGGAGCAGCTGCGGCCGCTAGAATGCTGCAGCGCAGGATTTTGGGTCCCGGCGTGGGTGAGCGGGTCAGGATGGCCACTCCCGGAGGAGCTGTGGCCACCAAAGCGAGCAGTACCACCCAGTCATCCAACATCCTGCCACCCCACAGAACTGAAACGAATTTATAAGCAAACGGGGTCAAGGAGTTCGCTAGCAAGAGGAAACCAAACTGTATTCTAGTCTAGTTTTGCTACCCTTAGTTCATACTCCACACGATCTATATAAATACTACATAGCAATGCTTAAGTTGGGTGAAGGGGTTCTCAAAAAAAAAAAGAAGTAAACACATGCTAATAGCAATGATACTATACATATGTACGATAAATGTAATACTTACACACCACAATCTACAATCTAAGCTAGCTAAAGTTGCTTTGGAGCTATAACTAAGACGATATAATATCTGGCTAGTCAGAGGGTGCGAAAATATCTATGACGTTGGTTTAAATATATGATTTTATATTCTGTGAAAGTTCTGAGAATGAAGAATTTATTTTGGATTTTCTAATCTTTTAACGGAAAGTTCAATCGGTAGCCAAAACGGTTTAAGATAGAAACACAAAACCAAAAACAGAAATTCGAAAATAATCCGAAATTGAAAGTAAAGATAGAATTGTGATTGAATTTTCTTCAAAATTCTATTAATTTGTTTTCTTAGTAATTCAATTGATACATTTTTTTTTAAATCTAAATGAATTATTCTTCGCCTTCTTAAGTCTTCCTTTACAATAACCTTTTATTTTTCATATTTTCTCAAAGTGTCTTCCTTAAATCTCAACTATTTAACTTAATTCTGAAACCAACGTCAAAAATTCTGAAAAGCCCCTCATCAATTGCAGCTAAACCCAAAAGCAAATCTAAGACATATGATATGGTTACTCCTTACGATAAAACATAAAATTATACACAAGAAAACTAAAATCGCGTAACTTTTTGATGTCTGCATGTTAATATAACCCACAAGAATTCGAAAAAACTTTACCCAAAAGTAAAACCAAAACTTAGGCTACAATGGAAATATATAAATTATATTTATAGGAATATACAGATAATTATGCTAAATACGATGGATATTTGATAAGCGCGTTATATTTTCTAGATTCCGATTGTGCAATATTTTTTGGTAGTATGAGAAACGAAAACGAATTTTTATTTTTATAAAAACGCGACCAAAAACGAGGGGAGAACTTTCTGATCTTTTGATTTCTATGATTTCCTTTTCTATTTAAGCATTTTGTCCAGCCGCAAAAGCTTAGCGCTAAAACCCGATCAGTCTAAAAATGATATATACAAGTATTGTACCTTTTTGCCATAAAAACAAACTGTACTCATTCCTGCCCATTAGATGACCTTCATATAGAGAACTGTAATCCTCTGCTAAACTGCTAGATCAAAGATATATTAGCCACGCTATATACACGTACATTCAGAATCAGAATCATAAATCAGACACACAGACACTTGCATTATAAACGTATCTGAACAGACATATGATTGTAATACCCACATATATTTACATCTTATATATACATAAACATAACAAAATATATATATATTCACCTTATACGTGTATACCCAACCCACGAGAACACAAGAACAACATTCAACGGCTTCAGAAGAACCAATCCAAAAACCAAAAACCCAACCAATCCAAATACTTTTCTATATGTAGGGGAGAGTGGGGGAATTTCGTCAGCATTTTTTCAAAGCTATTTTTTGTCCATCTTGAGACACGTTATCATATTTCTATTTTTATTGTTGAATGCGGTTAGCACCAAGCTTTAAAATGTGACATTCCCCTATTTTTTTAATTAGCTTGGTGATTTATAAAAAAATAAAATGTAAAACCAATATACTGGGGCAATCTCACCACACAGGGGGTAAAATCACCACACAACTGGGGAAATTTCGTCACCTGAAAAATGTAGGGAGTTTAACGCCTGAAAATATGCTACACTGATCAAGCGCACCATTTTTGTTGACGTCCTATATTTGTTGCTGCTGCTGGTAGTCTGTTCGTTAGCCAGCTCGTCAAATATAAAAATATGTATTTAAAATAGGTGCGAATTTACCCTTAGCGTAGGGTGGCGAAATTTCCCCAGACCGTACTTTTTTAGAAATAAATATTTTTCTTGCGAAATTAGGCGCGAAGTTAAAAATCACTGACGCAGAAATGCACATTATAGCACTGTGTATTATATAAAAAATCGTGTATCTTATTCCTTTTGAATTATGGCGTACAGAAAAAATTTCGTCGAGAACTAAATGTAGCTTTTGAACTGTTAAAACACATTTAATATTATAGCTTAATTATCTTGGCCTTCTGTGCAAAACAAATGCATTGGTTGTGTCTGGCCGTCTTGAAGGACTAAAACAAAAAAATTATATATTTTTACGACTTTTGGATTCCGAGATATTGCAGGTGACGAAATTGCCCCTGTGACGAAATTCCCCCACTCTCCCCTACTACCCATACATCAATCAAAATTATATTGAACGCCTCGATATTTACTCGATATTTACATGTATGGCTGCTCTATATCTATATCTCTATATCTCGATTACTTTACCATGTATACACTGAGCGAAATGCTAAAATGGAAATGCTTTAAGACACTGTTATGTTTGGCCTACTTATATAAACGTTTAATTAGCATAAATTCAACTTTATGGTATAGAGGAAACGGAAAGCCCCAAACTATAATTGCTTACTATGAAAAAAGCAGGGATCCAGCTCTATATCTCTATAAGGATACAGATCCTCTGCCTGTTACGCACTTTATCCTATACCGATAGACTATATCGAACGAATCAAAAATCTCTTATTAAGTTCATGTACCAATCTCGAAAAAGACTTAACTTGGATAAGTAACCAAATCATTTCCGATAATCACGAAATCTCTCACTCTCTTGCTCCCTCTCACCTGTAACTCACTGCTCAACGATCCAGTTTTCCAGCATTACAATACAAATATATCAAAAATCTCACGAGAAACAATAGAACACTGCCCCAAAAAAGTCCCATTCACTGCCCCGAAAAATCCCCAATTCTTCCCTCTAAAGAACCCAAAAACTAACTTTAAGTAGAACCATTCTCCAGCTCAAAAAATCACTTTACTTAAGGCAGCCTAATTAAAAAGAATCCCCCAAAAACCTTAGCTAAAGAATAACTAAAACAAGCAAAAAATTGAAATGGAATTTCAGCAAAAAAAATCGAAATATATGTAAAACAAAAAAACTAGCTTAAATATTTGGGCATAAGTTCAACTCCAGCTGCGACATCTAGTTTAAATTGGAAGCCTTTGTTCTCTCGCCTAAGTTCGAAACATTTTCAGATACTTAGCCTTATATGAATGTGTACATTTACTGCGCGTCTTGGTTGATGTAACCACTTTTGAGCTATTGAACCACCTTAATGTGAAACAAAAAACAAAGGAAAAACCAAAAAAACGAAAAACCAAAAAGACAACATCAAAAATAATAAATCAAGAAAATGGAAATAATTCAAATAAATATGAGATAATTTTTGAATAAATGCGGAAAAGTGTTTTGATTTTAAGGGGATTTATATTTTTGATATTCCATTATTATTTATCGAATTAAAGATATAAACTATTCCTAAATATAGTTTTTTTAAATATTTATATTAATGTTTCTAGACTAAAAATGATATTTATTTTAAAAACCAAAATTCATAAAAATCTAGCTAGCTTGCTTAGATTTATTTTTATTTTTTACCATAACAATCCTTATTTTCCCCATAGAAAAACTCGTTCGATTTTATTAGTTATTTGTTTTATTTAATGATTTGTATTCTCTCATTTTTGTTTATAGATAAATTCCTGGGCTGAGTATGAAATAAATAATTTGTTGGCGGTGCATGCACTTAGAAAACTAAAGAAGCATTTTCCCTTCTCTCATTCTCAATCGAAAAATCGAAAAATGTGCGATGAAAATGGCATCAGTCGGTTTTTAGAGTTAACTAAGGGAATCTTAGACCCTTAGAGAGCCACTGCATCGGTGGCAATAGGTTGATTCGGGACAGGATCGACGACTTCCCCAGCATCGTCGTTGACCACGATCACTTCGTTGGTGGGCACGGCAGCATCCTCGAAGGAATCATCGATAGTCTCGCCACTCGTACGCACTTCATTCTCGGCCTCGGGATTATATTCAGCCACCTCATCCTGGGCAGGATCGATTTTATCATCTACAGCGGGTTTTTCGGGGGTCTGAGCAGCTGGAGCGGCGGCTGGGGCATTCTGAGGACGATTTCCGCCCAGGAAATTGATGATACCCTGTAGAGGATTACCACTTTGCTGGGCAGCTGGGGCAGCAGCAGCCGTGGCATTTGTATTTCCTCCAAAAACATTGTTCACAAACTGCTGAATGGGACCCGGTGGACGTGCGGTAGTCGAAACAGCCAGCTGCTGTTGGCCCGTCAAAGAGGATAGGGTATTCTGGAATTGATTACCCAAATTGCTGGCGAACTGTTGGATACCCTGGAAAGCCTGAGTGGTGGCATTCACGGCGCTTTGGGCGGCATTCTGCACTGCCTGCTGGGCGGAGGTGATGGCCGCCTGGGGATTGAGGAAGCCGGGAACTGTGGGCGCCGGAGTTGCAGGAGCAGCAGCGGCAGCATCATCAGCCTGAACTGCAGCAGGAGCAGGAGGATTGGCAGCTGGCTGAGGCTGGAACTGATTCAGAAACTGACCAATGGGCGAATTCTGTATCAATTGCTGCACAAAGTTGCCCTGCGTGGTTGTCTGCTGAGTGGGCGTGGCCTGGGTGGCCTGACGGACTTGTGGATTAGCGGGATCCTGATTTTCCGACTGATCCTGGTCCAAAGGATTGGGGGAAAGTTCCTCCGAGGGCTTGGGAACTGCCTCTTCAGCTGGGAGATTTTTTAGAATAATATCAGCAGGTTGTTCCTGGATTTCTGGAGTCTCCTTTTTGATTTCTTCAGGTTGCTTTACTTCCTCCTTGATTTCCTGAGGTTGCTCCTTGATTTCCAGAGATTTCTCCTTGAGCTTCTGCTCTTCAAGCTTTTCCTTGGGCTCCTCTTTAATTTCGGGTTTAACCTCAGGCTTTATCTCCTCTTTAATTTCAGGTTTAACCTCAGGTTTAATCTCCTCCTTAACCTCAGGTTTAATTTCTTTGGGAATTTCCTCCTTCAGATCCTTGGCTTTTTCTTCTTGAGCCACTGGCTTAACTTCCTCTGGTTTAAGCTCCTCTTTGACCAAAGATAAGGCCACTGGTGGCTCTTTATCCTCGACAATGGTCACCGGGATATCAATCGCCTCCTTGGGTAAATTCAGCACTCTACCTTGGCTTAAAGCCAGAAAAACCAGGATCAAAACAGTAGACTTCATTATACCGTTTTTATATAATTGTAAATATTTTTAAATATATTTTCTTTTATTTTTCGATTTCAAGATGCGTTCACTAGCGCCTCACGGCCGCAACTGTTTGAAATTTCTTTAGGCCCAACGCATTTTATACAAACCGCGCGGCTGCGCAGTCGCCGTCGACTTTGTTGGCTGGCAAACAAGCCAACAGGGCTAAAAGTAAAGAAAAAAAAAATGGAGAAAAGCATAAAGTGGTATCAACTACCATCGCATTGGCCAATTCTCGTGCTAAATGTCATTGAACTGGACCAACTTGGAGTTGGGAGGTGCACGCACAGGAATCGGGAATCAGAATCAAAAGGGTTTTGGCCACAAGAAGCTGCACTTGTAATTGGCCAAGTGGTTGAAGGCATGAAAAAAAGGGAAGCATCATCAATCATGTTTGCTTTATCGGCTATCTGTATTTGGTTTACTTAGGCAAGATTGCAGATTTTGTAAGGACGATCTGTTGAGTTTAAAATGATTTAAGCTGAAAATTAACTGAAGATTAATAAATGAAAATTCTTACACTTAATAAACTAAGGCAAACCATTATGCAATATTTTTTAAATAATGATTAGACAAAGATTTAAGTTAATTAATTTTAGCCAGACAAGTATTTTTCTATTGGCGGTTAATAATAATAATATTAAACTAATGTTCATGATCCTTAAAATTTTTTCAAGTCGTTTTTATTCCCTTAAGAATGTTAAATCAAACAATAATATTTTATTATGTTTTCAAATAATTTCCGTATATCCGTTTTAGGTTTTTAAATCTATGCTTCAATGAAATTAACTCCTAAACAAATATTTCTTTGTTTGTTTACTGACTGTCTCTTTTCTTATAATAACATTTTGCTCAACTAATCCCTACTTGGGATTATAACCTGTGGATTTGTTGGAAATATTTTAGAGGATTAAAATATATTTGAAAATCTGTAGGTTAGGGTAGGAAATATTTCAGATATGGAATACCATCCCAAAATAATAAATAATAATATCGATTGTGTATATAAATTTTTTAAAAAAGGGAAAAAATAAAAATGAATGCTTTGTAATACATATTTTTTCTTTGTAAAATTTAATTCTTTGTCCAACTGTGCAGCCATCGACGATTAGTCTTTATTTCAGTCTGTCCCTGATCTTCGACTTGTTTGTGGAAGTAGAAGTAACTCCCCCTTTTTCATGCTACTTTTCCACCTTTTTTCACTCTCATTCCTTGTTGACTTGATTGCAGACAAGCGACATTTGATCAGCAGATTTTTCTCGTTTTCTTGTTCGGTTGTTCGGTTGTTTAGTTGTTTGGTTAAACGCTCCTACAAGAAACCCATTTGGGCCCGTCGGTCGTTTCGTTCTGCTAGTTGGGATGGTGGTGCATCTTCAATTCTTTGGATCTTTGGTCTTCTTCGGTGGAAGAACCAGTCTTCAGCTTCAGAGATTCATGCAGAGAAACCTGCTCCGGCTATTTTTAGAGTCAATTAGCTTTGGACAGTCGGTCCAAAGGCAGGGAAGTTGCATCTCTGGGATGCATTTTCACCCCGATTCTGGGTTAATAATTCATTAGAAATGCACAGAAACCGAACTAAAAACGCCCACAAAAGGTCGAAATGTGTGTTCTATGCAAATGAGTGCATTTAAATGTAGTTAAATGGGTCAAGAGAAAACGTCGCTGTGAATAGAATGAAAATTTATCTCCTGTTCATATGGGTTTACATATAGGTATGCACAGTGATCGATCGATCCATTTGCGGTTCGATCAGAACTCGTTCTTAAAAACCTTTTGGCCAACAAGAGCTCTGCAAACAGGCCAAACCTGCAAAAGGGCCAAGACGATATGTAAGTACCAAGCCAAAGATGATAATAAAAAAAGAAGTCAAGTAAGAGAACAAGGCTTAAATACCCTTAAAATCGATTTTAAAGGCTCATAAAAAATGGTAAAGTACTTAATTAATGTAAATGGGTTAAAAGATTTTTTATTTTACATGCTTTGTTAAAATACTCTTAAACATCTATGATTTTTAAGGCCAATTTTTTTTTACAAATTAAAAAATAAGTTTAGAATGATTTTTAGTCACGTAATTTCTATTTTCTTTTTAGTTTTAGCTATACTATTAATTTTCTAAATATTTTAAAGACAATATTGCTTCTCATCTGCTGGAAAAAAGATAGATTCAGCAGTCCAGTAACCAATGAAAAATTTCCATAAAAAAATCTAAAAGCTATTCAAAGTAACATAAAAATTAAATGAATACATTTAAAGAAGTTTTTTTTAAATAAAATAAAATTTAAATAAAATTTTGTTAATGAATATTTTTTAGGATTTTTTTGAGGGCATTAAATGAAGTCAAATGAAAGATCGAAGTGTATTGGCTAAGGACATTGACTTGGGAACTCGGGGATCTCGTAAGCGATCTTTTAAAGTTTGTTGTTCTTTTTTTGTTTATGACCCCCAGCTTGTGGCTTTTTATATTCTGCAGCGATAAATTGATTTCGGCACGGTAAGAACACGTTTCTCCCAAAACCCAAGCTCATTTGGGTTCTGTCGATTTTTATAGCTTTTCTTGGAGATGGTTAATTGTTTCTTTTTTTCTCATTCGTAATTTAATGGCCCCAAAAAATTTGCTCGAGTTTCGGTTTCAGCTTTGAATATTATGCAATTGTTAGCCGAACTCTTTTCTTTACTTTTTTTTACACAATTGGCTGTCGAATTAACACCTCACTCACATCCCAGCGACAGGTGACGACGATAAGGCGATTGGGGCGTGGCAGCCCCAACAACAAGAAAAAATACATTACTCTAAACGGTGGCAACTTTCACTCAACAATCGTGCGGAATACTAACAAAAAATTGACAAAAAAAATCGTAAATAAATACCCATGCAAAGTGGGTGACAACAACAACAGCAGCTGAAAATCAGGGAGCGAGTGGGAGAAGTCAGGCGATCTTCGTCATCCGAAATTACCTCACTTATCTAACTAAGCCGCTCGTTGTCGTCGTTTCTTATTTTTTTTTACCGGCGTAATATTTGTGTCATATTTTGTTGTCAAGGTCACCGTTTTTTGGCCAAATTGTAAAATTAAATGGGATTTTATGGCTAAGCCAATTGGGACAAGTGCGAAAATTGTCATGCCAAGGTCATTTTGTTCCCTGGGAACCTAATATTAACAAATATTTTTAAATAATACAAATATTAAAAAAAGCTTAATAAATGTAAATTGCTATACAAAATTGACAAGTAAAAAATTTTCATAGAGGTTTTTATTTTGTAATACTTTTGATTGAAGTATGAAAGTAATTTAATAAATAATTTAATTGCTTATTTTAACCTGATGTCAAAATTATACAGTATGTTGCAGATATAATCTAAAGCTTTTTTAAATCGATTTTATCCATATTAACTTGTACTTTTTTTTTAATCAATGTAATAAATAATTACATTGTTATTGTTACAGTTATATTTAAAAACTTAAAAATAGCAACCGGCTAATTTAAAATTTCCAGATATGTTGATTTAGGTGTACATGACCATAGAGTCCATCCGTGTGAAACGGTTGGGATTTTTAATAAATAACAGCTGACTGAAGATCAGTTGCTCAACTCAACATAAATGAAGGCGGATTTCAACTCGACAAAACTGTCGTGAAATTGCGTTCTCCTAATCTTATTGTAGAATAATACCATAAATAGCATAAGATAATAGTTTAAAACATATCTGAGTTTTTAAAACATATCCTATAACAAGTTTGCATACATATTGCTGACTGGGGGAAAACCTAACGTCCCGTACCCCAAACTCTGCTCTTCCTACGCCTCTGTCTAACTAATATTAATACGGCAATTCTGTAAACAAACCCAAAATTGTGCTGTTTTAGTAATTTATAGCAACTTAGGAACGTACTACACAATTAAGTAATATTAGTTTTCGGGACGGCAAAACCTTTCGGACCATCCGTTCAACGGATGGTGTATGGAGCTCTGAGGGAAGACCCTATTACATGTATGTTTTATAAATTCCTGGCTTTGAAAATTTGTGTTAAAACAAGTGAAAATTTGTGTTAAAACAAGTGTAAAGGTTGCGCGGCTTTAAAGAATTTCAAATTTAAATTTGAAAAATGGCTTACGTTTTCGAGTGCTGTTAAGTGCGTGCTGTTAAGCGCAGTCAGTATTTAATGCGCAGCCATATGTTTTAGTTGGTATTTTTTCTGCACCGCCTCGTGGTATTTCTGCCCTGCCCCCGCACGGCCACACTTGGCGGTGTGACCAAATTCGTGCTCGCTCCGCGAGTCGCCGTAAAAAAACAATTGCGAAATTATACAAGGAATTAAACGTAAAATTAACGAAAACATGTGCAGCGGCCGTTAGAACCGTGCGGCAATACAACGGGCCAGCCAAATCGTGCAGGTGCGAGCGAGAGAACACGCGTTCGCGTCACTGGCAACAACAACAAACACACAGTGCACCAACACTCCCGCATAAACACACACGCACACACACATGGACACCGACGCACATGCAACAAAAATAAAATAAAAACAAAAGAACCAAAAAGCAAAAAGCGAAATAATAACAAAAATAAATTTGATAAAATTGAATTATAAATAAAAAGCAGCTGCAAGTGAGCAAGGAAAAATGTGAACGAATAAGAAATATTTATTAGAAAGTTAACGACCACTAAAAAGTGAACCAAAAAAAAAGTAACACAAGGAAGAAGAGTGCCCCAAAAAATATCAATGTATAGATTGGATTAATAAATATAAAAATATTAGAAGTGCACTAAAATTAAATTTGTAATAAAAAAATATATAGATAAAAAATAGAACAAGTAAATTATAAATAAATAAATTTCTAATATACAACAACATTAATAAAATTTAACAAAAATTATTCAAACTAATAAAAAAAATTCCTTTTCTAACAAGTCTAAAACTTAACAATAAAATATACAAAAAATTTAGTTTATTTTTGATTTTGTGCATTTCCTGCTTACCCCACCCCTCACCTCACCTTACCTTACCCCAATTAGATTAAAAAACTTCGCGTTTTTCCCCCTTATCAGCTGATATACCACCCACCCAACCACCCCCTTTTTGCACCTGTAAAAAACAGGTGACTAATGCACTGTTCGCGAAGTTTGTCAGCTGCTGGCGCCGTGGAAACAACAACAACACTAACGTCATCCACATCGACAACAACAACTGCTTTCTACAAGGCAGCGACGTCGGCGTCGGCAGCGGCCTCAGTCTGCACAACACCAACAACAAAGTCCAAAACTAAAGCTATGGCCACCACAACAACAACAACAACGGCGGCAACAAATGCTAAAGATGGTAAGTTATATGTCCTTAAAAGAAATAAATGGTTATATAGGAAACGGGTTCTAGAAAGGTGACCCAAAAAAAAGGATTACAAAGTTGTGCAGATTTTATTAAGAAAAATTTTCCCTAATGGAAGTTTTTACCATAGAAAAGTGATAACTTTCTTCTCTTCTAAACTTTTCCATTCAAACTCTGATCCCTATCATGCCTATCAAAAAAACATTATAATCAATTAAAAAATAATAATTGGTGACCCCGATAATATCTTTTAAGCTCTTAACTTATTAAAAACATATTTAAAACCGCCGAAGTGGAATTCCAAATCGATCTTAAGTAATTAATAATAAACCATTGTCTAGAAATGATTCCAATTAGCCAAAATAAGACAAGTAAATCCCCGAAAAGGTGACCCACAAAAAAACCGAAACACAAAATCAAGGGTACCCATATGCGAAGTCAAGTCGGTTAAAGTTCAAGGCAAGCGAACATTTCAAATTGTAGGTTTTACAGTCAATGTCAAGCCGTGCAATTAAAGAAAATAAAGTTAGTTGGTCAACTCAAAGTTTAGTACAACCTTTTAATAAAAAGAAGACAGCCATTAAAAGGCAATCAAGGTAAAATTAGATCTTAAAAAAGATTAAATTGTATTTAACTGACAAAATCCTTGGAAACTATACAAACTAAAATAAAATAGGTTTTATTATTATAAAATGCACAAATGGTAAAAGAAAGAATTTTTAAAAACAGAAAACATATTAAATTCAGCTTAAAACTTTTCATTAGACTTTTTTCCATCTTTGACTGTAATTACGCTGAGGTATAGAAGTTTGTAAAACTAAAATTCCATAATTCCCTCCGCTTATCTTTTGCTTTGCCAAAGAGACTCTTCCACATTTGTGTGCCTGGTACACAAGGGCTGTAATCCTAATCCCTCAAAGCTTAATCTTTTGTTTTGCATTCTGGGGATCCGGACATAACAAAAACACACTGAAATCCCCACCAACGCATCTGACGTAACTTGTTGAGCAACGATTGCTGGCGGATTTGTTTCTTTTTGGCTTTTTGGAAAAAGAAAGAAAAGTTTTATTAATATCAATAACCATAAGAGCGAAGCGAGGGCAGCAAATAAGGCAAGAAATTAATGAAAGCCGCTGCTGCCGCTGTTCGAGGAATAAATTTCAACAAAAAGCGAAGCATAAGGCAGCAGAAAGCACATAGCAAAAGCAAAAGCAAAACAAACCATAACCAGCTTAACAACGATAATTAAGAAGTGCCGGCTAGGCCAGCACAAAAAAGTGTAAAAAATTACATACAAAATTTAATTGCCAAGGCAGGGAAAATGGTAATGGTAATATGGGGACAGAAAAAAAAACAGAAAAAAGGGGGTGGGGCGGGGCCAGGGCGAAGGTCAGCTAGAGGCCTGAAGGTCATAAGCATTTTCGACGTTGTCGTCACCTCTGAACCCGCTCGAATTTATTGATTTTACACGCAGCAGCCGCAGAAAAAGAGAGGAATAATCACAAAAAACAACAGCAGCTACAACATCATGCATATTTCTCTTTGCCCAATGCTTTACTTTACCTTTTACAGTAGTCAACCGGTATAGAGAACTTTTTATGTTCACTAAGAAAGAAAAAGAATTTTATGAAGGTAAAATGATTTTTAGGAACTATAAATTCAAAATAATATTACGACTATAATATTACAGTATATTTAATATTTGAAAATTATGAATTGAGTTGGTATTGTCTTAAAAATCCAAAATTAAAAATTTTAGCAAATATTTCAAAAAATATATTTTATAGATATTTTAATAGATTAATAATTCGCTTTTATTTCTAAAATTTTATTTATAAAATGTAGTACTTAATGCTCCCTTTATCGAGCACCCACTGTACCCTTTATTCATATTTGTATGCCCGCAAACACTGACACACAAAGCCAAACATATAGAGAGCGACTTGTGCGGCTTTTGCTGGGCACTCGAGTAGTTCAGTTCAGTTCGGTATAGTATGTGGCTTATGCCAAAGGCCAAATGGAAAACCTGCTTTAAGAGCCAGCGAAAGAAACATACGAGAAAGAATCGACTACAACAACTACGAATCTTAAATCCCCGCCATGGTCACAGTTTGATGCTAAAATCGTGTGTTGTCTTTCTGGAGTTTTGATAAACTGTATCAAGCAAACAAAAATCTTCTAATTAAATCAAAGCTAACGGTTTGCCGGGTAACGGTTTTCTTCGATAAAACTTGGCCAAAAATAGTCTGGTTCATTGTTCTGTATTTCTTTCTTTTTTTTTTGCACGTCGATAACATTTCCGAAATGCCAATTTAGCTGGTTGCCATTTTTATCCCAACATTCTCATTTTGAAGTAATTTTCTGTGTTATTTCTTATCAACTAAACCGAAAAGGAATGTTTGATAAGCCAAATGACACAGCGGCGGGAGAAGTGATTCATTTTTGAGTGGTATACACATATAATAGACAACTCTAGTGAACTTTGAATCATTCACTTAAATTAATCAATATATAGGGTAAATATTTTAAACATATATAGGCAAAGTGTAGCCCACAGCACAATAAATTGCCCCTTACTTTACTTAAATAACAGCAGGTTTTGCTTAAATATTTATTATTTAATACTAAACTCGTGAATAAGTAAATAAATATATAAAGTGGGTATTTCAATATTTACAATAACTGACAAAGGAATGAAAATAAATATTTTTCAGCATTTGAAACAATTTTAAAATAAATAATATGGAAAACTGTAAAAGTTCCTTATTCGTATTTGATAGAAAAAAAAGAAGACAAATATTTGAACATATAAAATAAGTAATGAAAAAAAGCAAACATTTAAACAAATTTTTAAATTCATTTATTAATTCTTTAATTAAATATGTTTCATTTAATCTCTAAAAATTGTATACACATTTTCTGCACTTAAACCTTTTATAATCTCCTTTAATATTTCTACAATTAGAGTGAAGAATAAAGAAAAACTCCTTTATCAGCTCACTCTTTTCGCTTATCTCATTACTATTTACATAACATTTTGTTGTTTGACTCTGCTGTTTATTCATTTGACTTTTATTTCTTTTATCAGTTGTGATTTTGCTGCTTATCGCAGCAAATGCAACTTTACCCATGGCAAATAAAATAAACAAACAGCGCGGAAAAAGAGAGTGTTTTTTTGTATACCATTTTGTTTCCCTCACTCCAATTGCCATTTTCAATTAGTGCCTAGAGCCTGAGGGTCAACACGAAATGCTTTATAATTTTATTTCAGCATCAGGTAACCGAGAACACAAATCGCTGATAACTTTTTTTCGTTTTCAAATATTTAATGATCATAAAGCAGCAAAACCACACACGCGCGCGCTACTCTATTGCCCTTTTTATTTGTCATTGGCTCGCCGGCTAAATGCGAAACAAATTTTTGCAATTAGTGGATCGCTAATAAAACATAGTGGTCTATAGAAAAACAGGGAGAAAAAAGCAAAAAAATATAACTCAAACAGCAGTCTGCATATTGACATATCGGTCGCATTCAAACTGAAACTGAATTCCCACAGCTGCCGCTGCTGATGCTCCCTTTTTGTGTGTCTTGTTTGCTCGTTTCACGTGCTTTTGGGCCGGCTTCATTTGCTGAATGCATTTCCACCGGCTGGCCGGGCGTCATTTTTCAATTGCCCACCTCTCGCCGCTTTCCGCCGCCTTCTCTCCTCACTTTTCCCAGCGCTTTCCCAGCCACGCCTGGAGTGGCAGTTTGTCATGAGCGGAGAGGCCAGGTGTCGGTCTGCTCATCGCGTTTCCTGTTTCCCTCCACAACACTCTTAAAATAAATAGTCCGTAAGAAAAAAAATATTAAAAAAATAATAATAATGCCAACTATTTGATTTTTTATATTCCGGATTATTTCGAAATGTATTTTTGAAAAGTGATTATAAATTAATAAAAAGTTTGATGCATAAAAACTAATTTTTAAAGTTTTCAATTTACAAATTTTCTTATAAAAGGAAATGTATCCATTGCCATTTAATTTTATAAATTTCTGGATAGTCCGTAACTTGTAAATATTTTTTTTTTATTCAAAAAATACTTCCTAATTAAATTATTTTCGGGGTATTTTCAAGAAATATATAATTTCATTTTTTTGTAATTTATCTCTAATGAATATTTCCCATTCTCCTAGTTCTAATTATTTTTTTCGAGTGCACCAATATAACCCATTTCAGCTAAAACCCAACTCAACTCAGCTCAGTTTTTGCGCCCGGCTCTCGGGGATTGCAATTTGATTTGTGGGCGAGTCAGTCGCGGTGTGAAGACTTTGGCTAAATTGCTGTGAGACTTTACGCCAGACTTATGAATGAGTTTATTGTGCATTCTAACAACTTAACTGGGCCTTCAGAGGCTGCAAACTGCTCAGCCTGCACAGCCTGCTCCCTGGTTATATTTCACATTTAATTGTAACGACTTGGAGGTGTCAAGAAGTTAACTCAAGAAATAGCAACTCAAGAATGCACTTTTAAAGTGCATTGTTTGCAGTTTTCGCTTGGATTTCACTGAGATTTTTAGATAACAAATTAAAGAGGCAATGTTAGGAAGATCTTAAGAAATATAAATGATTTTTGGAATGCTGTATAAAATATATTTATATGTATAATAATATTAAAAGATAATTCTCTTTTATAAAATTTTAAATAACTTTGTAATATTTTCAAAATATCTAATAAATGATTTTTGCATTATTCTCTATTTTTTATAAACGTTTTTATTCATTTTGATCCCCTAAGCTGCCATTTAACCCTTCCCATGACCTATCCGACTTTACTTCCTGGCCAAATGAGTCACCCGAATTAATTTCCATAAATATCTCCACTTTGGGTATTTAGTTTCCTTATTTGCACTGGCGTTCGCAGCTCATTTGGCATTGTGCACCCGCACATACGAGGCGCTTTATTGCATCTACCTGGCTCCTCCATTTCCCAGCTAATTTGTCTTGCGTCTCA